ATTTTTTTTATTTATAATTTACAGGTCTGCAAGTTTTTTTCCCCCCTCAAGCATTCTTGCAACACTCCAGCTACATATGGGCCCGTTGCCTGTAATCAGTTATTAAGAGTGAATTATGATTACTGCCATCATTTATCAAACAACATTTTTCTCACTATTGTCAGTCAGAGATCATATATCATAGATTTATTGGGAACTTATGAAAGCGATGATTTACATTTTCAAGAGGTGGATCGTGATTTTGCAAGTAAATAAATTAAACAATGCAAAAAAATTGAAAAAAAAAATCAAAACTTTGAGGCATTATTTGAAAATGGAAAACTTGGCTAATTCTGCTTTAGAAGCATTTAGGTTTCAAGATTGATAAAATTCAGTTTTTTCGAATTTTTAAAGGTTGAACCGCCACTCGTGAACTTTTTCAACTTTTTTTTTTTTTTAACAGATTCCATAAATGAAGGCGAAAGTTAACTCACTGCAGCATCTCAGTGTCCATGCAAGCGGTACTACACACACAAGTACTTTAATAATACATATATATGTATAAACAAATAAAGAAACAGCATAAAATGTGAAATGCAACAGGTGTAGGCCTGCTGTTGAATATAAGCGCGTTGCTTTGTTTTCTTTCGTGCGTAATTTAGACAGCATTAAGTGTCTATGCAATCTCGCTTATTGTAGATTTCTAGGACGCACGGCTACTGGAGCTGGACTCAGAAAAATGTCCTTTAAGTTCAATTTTGTTTTAAAAATGCTGGTTCCACATAGCAAAAAGGCCAAAGAGCAGAGTCTGTGGATCACGTTGTATCCTTACAGAGATAGAAAAACAACAGCAAAGATAATAACAATAAAACACTAAAAATAAAAAATAGTACAACGATTAGCGCAACCTCTTCCTCCAGAGATTAAAAAAGGGTGTTAGAATTATGTTTGGGTATAAATATTAATGTGTGAGTCTCTTGACAGCTTTGTTAACGCCTGTGGAAAAAAAATCTTTCCCTGACTCACTGCCAGAATGATGAAATTTCAAAAGTACATTCTACCTCCCTGCAGTTGGAAGCCTTTAATCAAAAAAAATGCAACAGATGTGGAACTGAATAGCGCCTGAGCATTGAGTGAAACAAAGAGCAGACCTTTATATTTACAGAGGTTCCTGTATGCCAATAAATGATTTCACGTGCAGCTTACAGCCTATAGGCTTAGCAGGCTGTTAACGCAACCTTTAAGACTTCTGCTGCAGGAGCTGAAACGGAGCGAAATTTGCAACGAATGTGTCAGTTAAACGCACACATTAGGAACACCTTGGGAGCGAAATTTTCCAGTTAACCGTGGACCTTTAGGTGGCTCCCCGTCCGAAAAAAAACTGAAACAGGTCAGATTTTCTTGTTATTTTTTTTTTTATACAATCCTTCATAATCACACCGCAGGCAAGCGTCCAGAAAATATGGAAAAGGCAAGTGTGTGACCGCCCTGTGGTTCCCTGCTTCGACCACAAAAACATATTGGCTGTTATGTTTTGACAGCTCTTTGACAGCCGTCTGCTTTAAACACGTGTCATCAACAGGACTGAATTCTGAGTGCGCGTTCTCAGCAGTCCGTTTTATATCTCAATTTAGGTGATTAAGAATATAAATTTATAGCAGAGCATAACTTTATATAGACCTTTCCCTGCTTTACCCAGGCTTCGGGCGCTGAGGCCGCGGAATAAATGTGCTCTTTCTTTCTCTGGCTGCGTAATTTGGATGCCAGTACAAACAAGGGCTTGAGCCTTGATAATGACCTCAGAGAAAAGCGTCCAGGCTTTGCAGCCAAGTCCCAAAGTGGAGTCTTAGGAACTTTCCAGTGTCTTCCTGGTAGATAGGAAGGTCCATGACAAATTAAATTCACAGTTCTTTAGTTATCACATGGAACTTGGGGCGAAAACTAAAATTCAAAAGCAAAAACAATAAATAAAAATCTGTTTATTATTATGTAGTTTTATCATTGCTGTCTTTTAGACATTTTCTGCACACAGCTGATTTGGAATTCAATACCAAATCAATATTTAGGGTTTTTACTGAGGATTCCTGGTTCTCAATGTCGCATGGAGGCTCATTGTGAATTTGGCGGGTGTGCGCCCCTCCTTCAGTCTGTGTCCATTGTATTTGGGGATGTCTCATGTCTGGACTGACCACATGTGCGCGCCGACGGCCACCTTGGCGAGGACGCAGGGCTGTTGTTACCTACAGTTTGTGTTTTATCCAAGTGAGGACGAAATGTGAATAAAACGCAAATGATCCCAGAATAAAAACGCATCTCTTCGGCATTTAAAAACAACAAATACACAAACACCTGACAGGATGGATATATTACGGGTATATAATAAATCTAACTTGACATAAAGCATGCAAAAAAGGTGACAGAATCCTTGGGAACAGTAAATGATTAACGCTGTCGTGTTTATTTTGGAGCCTGATTTGCCAACATCGATGAAAACGCCACAAGGCAGTAACGCAACAGGCTGGGCCTTGTACCGTGACTCATTGTTATTGCTGCATGTTGCTGCTGAATGATTTCATTACTTAACCCTTCTTGTATGATAACTTAAGGACAAATCGTGACTACTGTATATAGTTCGTAATGAATCACTTGACGCTTCACCTGGACAATTCAAATTTAATGCAAACAATCACGCTTTAAACACAAACATGGTGCCTTCGACGTTGTTTAATGCAGGAAAAATGATGGAAAATACATTTTTGAACAAGTAATCACATTCCAATTCAAATGCAACAAAGAAGATGTTTCATTTTGAACCTGAAAGACAAACAGTAACATATCATGTTTGCTAATTTTGCATTTTTTCATGAAGCTGTCATTATAAGTAGCTATAATACATGGTATAAAAATGTTATTTAACAAGGTCTGGTATTAATTTACTTCTCTTTTAGCAACTTTATTCAAACACACAGCATGAGATTAAATCCGTTAAATTGGTATCTTATTTAAATGAATGTCGACTTTCAGCAACGGACTTTAAATCACAAAAAAATCTCCCCCAAAACGAAGCCCCTCTTGTTCCATTGTATTCAACAGAAATTAAGCACCTCCCCCACACACAAAACATCAAGTACACTTTCACATTTTTCTCGCTACAACACTCACAAGCTTTGAGTGTGGGTTCTTGTTAAGTAAAACAATGTCAGTCCATCACTGCAGTGCTTTTTTTTTTTTTCCCATTCCGACCAGGCCTACGTCTACTGTGATTCAGAATATTCCTGCATGAAAACCGCCAATATCCGCCTTTGGTTTATTTATCTCTGTGTGATTTTTAAAAGAATTTGATGACATTGAATGTTGCTACGTGGGTGGCCATGTTTGATTATTTCAGATAAAACCAAAGCATATTTTATGATTTAGATAAACGGGGCATGTCTGTACCACGCGTCTTTGTCCGTGAGTGGCAGCTTCTTTGTGGATGTTTGTTTTGGGTTTTGTTTTTTTGGCGTTGTTTTTAAATCTCACAAGTTTGTACAATTACGCACGGCTAGGCCGAAAACTCATGCTCAGATTTTGATACTGTGGTAACTAATCCAGTGAAAATCTCCACCAGATCCATGTCCTCCAGCACAGAATAGACGGAGAGCCACTGGTCGTAAACACAAACCAGCAGACTAGACACACACACACAGGCACACACGTCTATTACGTCCCCTCTTTTCAGAGATCAACGTCACTTTAACACATATGTGCCAAAAAACACCTCCAAAAAGATCCGCAAGTAAAAACAACAACAACAACAACAACATTCCTTTTATATTTCCAGCGCTCTGCACCAGGCAAGAGAAGCGGGCACAGACTAGTTTGTGAGAGTAAACGGTGAAGAAAACAAAATGATAGTAAAAGTTAATGTCCTCCAATAGCTTTCATTGGGACAGGAATTCTCACCCTTCTTCCGCTCTTTTCAAGAGCTCAGACGGTCCCTTCAAAGCCTAAATAGTCCGACAGGCTGGATGGCTAGACAGCAACTTTCAACTTGACCTTGGCCTCCAGCCGCGTCTACCTCCTATGTAAAACACGCAGTGCCAAGTGGAGAGCTGTTTTCTGTCTTTGCATATAGTAAACACGTCAGAAATCGAGTGTTTACCTAAAAACATCACATTATATCCCATTTTAATTTTCCTGTACGTGAAATTGATATGGAGATATTAAAGTGGGGCCTTGTCTCATTTACCAGAACCGTTTGAGTGCATTATTTAAATTACTTGAAGTAAGTAAACTCTACTCTCTTTCTTTTTTTTGTAGTAGCCTTCTTCTGGCTTTCATATGCGCTAAAGACGCATGGACAAATAGCCTACAGATACACTACATAGTCTGTCTATGCGGCAGAAGTATGTTTAATTCCATGTGGATCGCGTGCAATACTGCAATACGCACACTTCAATATCATATTTTCATAAAAAGAATCTTTTGTTGAAAATGGTCGTGAAATAATACCCTATGCCTACTGCGACGCAGACAAAGACTGGTCAGTGTGCGTGCGTAAAGGCCATAGGCTATGCATATTAGTCATATAAATGTTAGAGTCATGGCTCTGTTTTTAACTTACTGACCATTTTTAAATAATCGACTCTCGTTTTAACTTCACGTGTAAAATTAAACCATTTTCGAGTCAAAATTGCACAATTGTAGCTTTTGTAATTTTTTAGATCTAACATAGTAAAAATAAAGTAGGATCACCTGTTTGTATATCTAAGTAAAAAAATGGAAGAGAAACTCAACATCCATCTTAATTCAATCAAAAATGACAAAAGCTAAATCCCCTGATAGGTACGTCACCTTACTTCGCCGCATTTTTCTCCATTTAATTATCTGGTGATGTTTACCGTCCTCTTTGCATAGCCTGGTCACGTGGCAACATCTGGACCAATAACAGCGCAACCTCTGCGCTCTTGTGCGCGTCAGAGTGGCTTTACTCTCTGAGAACCAGTATCTCCTTTTTTCAGTCTCTGGCCTTTTTAAAAAAGAGCCAGAAGCTTCAATGTTGGATGCCGTGCTATGACAACGTCACTGCTCCTCCGTCCTCGCTGGGTCGACCCGTCGGTGATGTTCCTCTACGACAACGGCGGCGGTTCCGATGAAGTGAGCAAGAACATGGAGGGTTTTGCTGGTGGCAACTTTGCTGCGAACCAGTGCAGGAATCTGATGGCGCACCCCGCGTCCTTGGCACCCAGTACGGCTTACCCTTCCAGCGACGTGCCCCCCTCCGGTATGGGCGATCCAGTGAAACAGTGCAGCCCCTGCTCTGCAGCTCAGAATTCCTCCAGCGCGTCTCTGCCATATGGGTACTTCGGTTACCCGTGCAGAATGTCGCATCACAGCAGCATAAAGTCGTGCGGAGCGCAGCCTCCCTCCGCGTATCCAGATAAATACATGGACACGTCTGCCTCGGGCGACGATTTCACCTCTCGGGCAAAGGAATTTGCTTTTTATCCAACTTACCCGTCGGGCCCATACCAACCTGTCCCCAGCTACCTGGACGTTCCTGTGGTGCCAACTATCAGTGCGCCTTCAGAGGCTCGACATGAGTCCCTGCTGCCTATGGAGAGCTACCAACCGTGGACTCTCGCACCCAACGGCTGGAACAGCCAGGTTTACTGCGCCAAGGAGCAGCCTCAGCCGGGACACATGTGGAAGCCCTCCATACCAGGTAGGCTACATCTCCCCAAATGTAGCTTTTACAGGATGGAGCGGTTTGACATGTTAGTGAGTTAGTACACAACAAACAGGATACACAGTGTACAGGGGTGGGAGTATAAATGTCAGTTACTGCGTTACTGTACAGAACAAACAGCACAATTGTATGATAATTTGTTTACCACAGATTTGAAATTATAATGTAACAAAGGGCGTTCAAATGAATTAAGTGGAAAATGGAAGAATGCGCAAAGCTGAGATTTTTTTCTTCTAAAAATTAAAAATATTTAACAATGATGTTATTATTTAGCTTTCATATCAAGCAGCCAGACTTTCCCTGTTGATGTATGAATTTAACTCTTTATTCCACTTAGTAAATATTAAAGTATCTGATTTTAATGTAAAGCAAGTCCAAGTTAGCCACTCAGTTAGGAGCAGGTTTTTATTTGTTGTAGTAAACATATCATTCTGATTTGTTGAAGCCCACGTTTTGAGGCACTTTATGTCAACTTCTTTTGTCTGTTTCCCCCCTCAGACGCAGTGTCTCACGCAGGAGGAGACTCTGGCTCTTATCGACGTGGAAGAAAGAAACGCGTGCCATACACCAAGGTGCAACTGAAGGAACTCGAGCGCGAGTATGCCGCCAATAAATTTATCACGAAGGACAAAAGGAGGAGAATATCTGCTCAGACCAACCTGTCCGAGAGGCAGGTCACGATATGGTTTCAGAACAGACGCGTAAAGGAGAAGAAAATTGTCAACAAATTGAAAACTATCAGTTAGTTGTGTTTTTTTGTTTTTTTTGTTTTTTATATTATGGACAAAATCAATGGGAGATAAACTACTACACACACACATAGACACATACACACGCGCGCGCGTTTGGACACATGGATTGGAACTCCTTCCTGACTGATTCATATGTATGTAGGCAAATGATTTCCCGGAGCTTCTGGAACAAACTTTCCGGGCCCTGTGAACGCCGGAACCCCCTTTTTTCCTGCCACTTGTTGTTAAATATTGTTTTGGGGGCCTCAAGTGGGAGAAAAGAATATATATATATATCTCAGCAGCAGTATGTGTGACTTTTTTTTTTCTCCTACTCTTGGCATGCTCACTCTCAAAGCAGGAAAACTGACCCCAGTTCAGAGAGCTGTGCGCCACCGAGCTACACCTTTATCTCCAAGTTTAACGAGAGTGATAAATGGAAGATTCGCAGGACGTGACCGTGTTATGGATTTGGACCTTGGGAATGTTAAATATTAATCACTCACGGCTTTCCTTTTAAAGCCTACTCACATGCTTAGCTTGTATGAAGTTTAGTCTTTATCATATGAGTCCGTGCTCTCATTCATATCCAATCCACGGTGCAATTTCTTATTATGATGCTTAGATAATCGTCCGGGATATGTGTTCATATCAATCATAGCTTTTATAATGTGTGCGTATTCATGTGGTTGTATATAAGTATATAAGTAAATTCCGGCATGATATCCAGGTTGTGTGTGTGAGTCCAGTATGTCGGTGTTTAAAGTCCGTCCCAATAAAAATATGGACTTGGTTGAATTTTATCCAAAGTATGTTGGAGCCTTGTCATGGCATGAGGCCATATTAATAGTCCAGTGTATATATTTCTACATTATCTTTTTGGGAGAAATTTGTCTTCCTTCGTATGAATTTAAAATATTCTGAGTGTCCAAACACTCGCTGAATGTGATACTTGAGTTTGTCAGTGGTGAAACTGTCTGGTTGTGGGTTTCCTGGGTTTGTAGTGAACTTTATTTGGAGATACTATATACAAATTGTATTTAGCAAATATTTGTACTGAGTAGTAGGCCTCCTTGGGGCTCTGGGAAAAAAGGAAATCAGTCAGTTGAGGCTGGTCTGTGCTGAAATGTGGGCTGACATCGCCATCTAGCGACGACTTTGTGACATGCTGCAGTGGAGAACCAGTGGTCAAATATCCCATTCAGAGCTAAGAGGCCTACTGAAAAATAATAACAGGCTACTAATAACACTAATAAAAAATGACTATAATCATAATAATTATAATTAATTTTACGATGATAATCTCTAAATCAAAGTATCTGAATTTTACTAGAGTGGCAGCCGGAATAAACACACTTGAGAAGAAACGAGTAAAATAATCCTCATTTTTATTAATTTATATTTCAAAATAAACACATTAGAAAAGGTGAAAAAAAATATTCCGCTGTGTGACTGTGCATTAGAAACGACTGCTTAAACATTATGGTTATTACAGGACATTTAATCTTGAAGGACGCTGAGGTGAACTTGTGATTATGAGCATAAACAACGCAACCGAGAAATAAATATTCTAATATATTATCAATATGTATATAAATGTATGTATATGGCTGAATGAATATTATCCGAAAATGTAAATTAATTTGGTTAAAAGCGGGAACGCGGCCTTGTTCGTCCAGTTTGTGTTACGCGCTGCTTCGTTCTTTGTTTCAAACGCGCACAGACAGACAGTTTATCAATCCCAACAACAATCTGTCAGATTATAGTTTAGATTTGTTTTCCAGGGTAAATTCAAAAGTAAAACATATAAAGTGTTGGATTTTTCTTGCGATCACTGTTTTGATTTAGTTCTTTTTAATTTATTTTTTTAAGTCGCTGAATTTAATTCACGCGTCTCTTGGTGCGTTTCCTGTTTGATTTATCGATGTGTTGCATGGACATGTTAGTTATGTTAGTTTCTCTTTTTTTCCCTCTTTTTTCTTTAAAAAAATTATAACGGCTTCTTCAAAATTTTAAGGTGGACTTGAGTTTTAATTCAAAACTATTTATTCTGTATGGATTCTAGCTTTTGCTGTAGCTTTTTAAAAGACGACCCCGTCCCCAGTTATTCGTTGCGCGTAGTGACCGCTATAAAGCGGATGCACAGTGTAAAGATTCACCCTGTAGCCTACAATATTCTCTTTTTGGGAGACAAATTGCAACTGCATCCAGTATTCCACGTGATTTAGCTGCATTGAGTGATTCAGTCTTACTGGCGGTCAAATGTCAGACGTGTAACGTAATCCATGCTTAGTCTGAGGTCCAGCTTCTCTCGCTTTTCCCCCACATATAAAACTGATTCACTTGGTGATGAATTGTTTTAGTTTATTGTATTCTGTGTGTTTGCTTTATGCGGGATTAGTAGCTCTTAGTCGCTTTCGTCCGCTTTCATATTTATACTGTTTACACTAACTAGCCTATTGTGTGTGTGGATGGTATTACGCACGGAAATATAATGGATTAAATTATTCTGAAAATTTCATTTAAACTATAAATCCTGTCCTCGGACATTATTATTATTATTATTATTATTATTCTTATTATTATTATTATTATTATTATTATTATTGTGGTCATAGAAGTAGGATAATTAAAAGATCGAGTTATCCAGTTGCGTACAAATGGGCTTTTGTTTTCTGTCTTTACTATCTGAAATCATTGTGCCTATCTTTTTAAATTTAATGTCTTGTTTAAAGAAGCCATTTTCCCAAACGTTTCAAATCATATTTTCATGCAGGCCCATGAATATAAGAGTTAGATTTACTAGTGATTGCTTACTTGTTTCCTAGTTGTGTAAAAATCGAGATAAAATCATCCAGAAGCCCAAACAAACTGGATATTTTGAATTCCTTAAACTAAAAGGCTTAATTGTGAAGTATTTTGAAGCGGTGAGCAGTCGCATATCTTGCTCTCATGACACGCACATGTCCAGCTGGCTGCTTCAGACAAACACCAGACGGATTGTGAGCGAGATGAACGTCCGCGAGCACGGAATGCGCCGTTGCTAAGCGCCCACGTTTCCTGACGTCACACGGCGGGGCGCGCACGTGTTCGGCAACGAGCTCTGAGATGGGAGAGAAGAGAGATGTCTCACTGCTCTGTGCATCCTCCAGTCTTTCAAAAAAAAATGAAAAAAAGGCGGAAGCGCTGGAGCTGAGTGAAAGCTCATTGGCTGAGAGGCAGCAACACAGGCTCTTATTGGCTCTTGAGAACCAAAACAAGCCCTCAAGTCCCGCCTACAGCCTGAGACCTAACGTGACAGTCCAAAGCTCACAGCGCAACGCCCCGCCTATTCCTCTCCGCTCTCTGAGACATCTTTGATTGGACAGCTCATGGACGGGAGCAGGAACAGACTGGAGGCTGAACTGCGTCTCTGGTGTTCAAGAATTGAATTATGCTGCCACACTAAGGAAAAACAGTGAATTACAGTTCATGTTGGAGTTTAAAATTGGCTACATTAACCTATTTTTATTACAAAAAATAACAAAATTTAAAAAATGCTACTTGAGTTTCATGCATCATTCACATTTATTCCCGAATGAGTGCACAAAGTAAAGTCAAATCAAAGTGGCAGTCTGTTTGGATGCGCTTTGAAAAGACAGATATTTTAAAATCTGTGCAACTTTACTGTCCAGTTCTCAACAGAGAAAATGGTCACGTAAAAAAAACAAAAAACAAAAAAAACAAAACAAAACAGAAACTGCCATCATTTTTGTTTCTTTCTTCTTCTTCTTATTTTTTTATGTTTGCTATGAAATAACAATTAAATGTCAGTTAACTACTCGTCAGATCATTCAGATTCAATCCAAAAACTGTATTATCCTCTAAAGGAAGCAGTGCATAGAATATAAATCCACATTTCCAGGGAGCAGTATGTCTCTCGCCTACCTGACAGACGTGCTGAGCACAGACAGGGCCACCAATGGGCTTTGCTCTTTACATTGACCTTCGCTGTCTCTGTGCGTAATGGAGGCGAGGCCCTGCAACCTTCAGCCGCTCGACAATGCAGCTCTGGTCAAGCTTGAAAGCACGAGTTTGGAAGATAATCTTCGTAATACAGCACAAAGACCTCAGCAGACATAAGCTTATCCGACACCGTGACAGCTGTCAAATAGAAGCACTTGACCGAGATTATGTGAAAGCCTCCTCCGTGTCCCAGTCGGCGCCTTATTCGTCGAGAGACGAGATTTTTTCCTTTCCTGGTATCAGATCATCTCATTTGGCCTGAAATATAAATGCCAAATAATTTACTGTGTTCATTTTGGAAGCCTGTGTAGACTTTGTATGTTTTAAAAGAGAAGTACGCAGCGAGCATGTGGGGGGATTAGAAGGATCGTGTGTGTTTGCTGCTTCTACGTAAACACAGTTTAAACACAGAATATTCAAGAATAAACAGAGACTTGCAGAACATATAACAGATTTTGTGCAATAGATTGTACTTGAACTGTGGGCCAAAACTTGTCTGACTCTCTAACGAAAAGTGTTTCCAAAAAGCGACATAGACGTTGTGGAAACGGGCCTGTGTGTGTTTCGGGAAATGTTTTTAACAAAGTGCTGTAACCTCTTTAGAATAAACGAATAGGAGATAGTTTAACACTTTCCCAAAATTAGAAAAAAAAGACTAAAATCAACAGCTTTTTTTTTTTTTTGAGATGGCACAAATTATTATTTTCATGATTTAACGGCCAGAAGAGCCAATAAGACTGAAATTGTTAAATGTTATTATCTAAGTCGTGAGATTCGCTCATCTTTAAATAAAATGTGATGCATAAACGCGCGGCAAAAATTAATATGAAACAATATTTGATGCTGGTAAGATGTGCGCATGCAAAAGGCAGGAGCGAAAATCAGAATTTAAGGTCGAACTTTGGTTGAATTTGATTGTGAAGACGACAACGTCAATTGAGGATGCGTCCAAATATATTAGATCTAATAACAATGTAGATTTTAAACTGTGTTTATAGCCGAGATATGGAGAAATAAAAGACGAAAATCCTGCTTCGGGTGATTAAAAATCGCACTGCAGATGTCGACGGAAACATTTTCCAATAGTGAGCAGCTAACGATTGTTAAATATTCCGTTTTATCGTGTTTGGGAGATCACTTGTAAAGCGTTTGGTGAAGAAAAGATCTAGAGCACTTATATATATAATATATTTATTATCCAGTGTATTCAAGGCAGAAATGCGCGATAAAACAGTCTCGATTCGGCTCTTTAGCTTCTTAAAGGTGCAAGAAATGTCCTTTTTTTTGCGCATTCACTCAACTTCAAATCTAAGGCTTTTAGTGTCTAATGATCTGAATGTATTTTTGTTCAACAATTCCTCAAACTATCAGCAGCAAATGCACAAATAAGTCAGTAGAATTTCCAGACGCAGTAGCCCATTTTTGTGCGTTTTTGGTTCCTTTTATAAATCAAGTAGAACCTGTATCCCTACACTTGAATTTCAACTTAATTCTTCTGGTAATTCTTTGGCCTTTTTGCTATTTTCCTTTGTTGATGTTCATATATTGCCCTTCTGAAGTCCAGTTTGTGTTCCTTTTGTCCAGGCCCGCTCCTCCTGACGCCTCGTTTCCCAGGATACCCTCTGCAGGCTAATCCAGCTTTGTGATTCTTCCCCTGGTTTGCCAGATGTGCTCCCGTTGACCGTGGAGTTGGTCAGTTTCCCTGCATGGCCCCTGTGTGGTCCGCCTGGCCCCTCTGTCGTCGCCATCGCTGTCGGCCTACATTTCTGTCACCTGTGGATAAATCAACAGTTGTTCGCTGAATCAGGTTCACTTTTTTCCCCCTTTACACATACATATTCCCGCTCGTTTAATTGCGCACTAAATGCAAACTCTGATTGTTTCATGTTTCAGTCTGATGGGTTTATAATCCCCCCGCAACTGTAGCCAGCAACATGATAACGGCTGAGCCAAGACCATGTACAATTCAAGTTCAAAAACACTTTATAAATGTATACATTTCAGATGTTTTGCACAAGTAAACACCCACATTTATAGTTTGACTTAATGCTTTGGCAAAAAACCCCACGTATTATAATTATTTTTATTCATTATTTAACCCAGACTGATCTATGCTTTGTTTTGGTTCTCAATCACTGAACCGCTTGCAAAACTCCCAGTTTACTAAAGTCGTATTTTGTGATCTCTTAATGAACATATAAGAATATGCTCATTAAAAGTCACATTTGGCACCCGTCTTCTCATTGTATCATCAGACTGCTGCTTCGGCCTCCTGCTCAGCTCGCTATACTAAAGACAGGGTTTTTTTTCATTTTGAGAGAATCCAGTCAAAAGATGCTTTGAGGCGCAGGTGTGGTGGCCCATTTTTGCAACCATAAAATGAAAACAAAAACAGCCTGTAGTAAAGCTCTGGGCTTTTTATCCCGCTTGAAGACTTAAACTACAGGAGGTTTCTTTTGCAAGACAGTGAATGCTCCTATTTAGCCCCCTTTACTGCCCACAGGCCTACCTGACGTGGCGTTAAACTGTACTTTCAGATCCTCCCCACACTTGATTGTTTACTTGTTGTCTGACAAGGTTTTATGGCGCACGGATTGGGCTATCTACATGTCGCATTCTCTTCCTGACAAAACCAAGCTTCTATCAGCCCAAAACAAGGCTCATTCTCAATTTAAAGTAAACTCTCACCTAACATCCACGATTTCCTTCAATTGTTTAATCTAACAAATAAAAGGTAAATTCAGAGTGTTTTATATGCATGCGTAAAAGTGTGTGAAAAAAAAGTACAACACTGAGAGAGAGCAAACCGTGTCCTGTGTGAAATGCACTGATTTGTGTATCTCGGTGTCAGAACTACGAAATATTGTCTTTTGTTTAATTATTACTAAAAAGGTAAGAAGACTGTCAATTAAATAATTTGTGTTTTATGCTGTTTTTTTGCCCATTATTCAAAATTTTTTTAACTGCATATTGGATTTCATACGGTGCGCAGGAAATGATCACATTTAGGGGTTTGATGAGCAAAAGCCTCCTATGCAATATCCTGAGTGTGTTGTTAGTATCATTCTTCTGGAGCAACTGTTTACATGCAATCTAACGCAGTACCATTTAAAGGCCTACATCTGATACACTATTAGTGCGAAGTTGAAGTTCATTTGGCTTCTCCTTTGCTTGTAGTTACAGGCTCACATTATCAACTAATCTTGTAACCTAAAGCCTGCGTAAATGCAAAGCCAATTATAGGAACTCCATCCGGGGCACGGCGGGCCCTTTGCTCTCTGTGAAGGACCCTCTCCCTCCCCCGAACTTGAAGTCGACCGTACAGACAAAGCTTTGGCTTTGAGAGCTTTTACGCAGCGCCAGACATGTTTTGCTGAGGAAAAACAGCACAAGAAGGATGGCCATAGGATCCACACAACGACTTCCTTTAACAAAAAACACATTTGACATAAAATAGGCTTTCAGCCTGTCTACTTTTTTCAGAAAATTTGTTTTAAATTTAACAAAGTTTCCAATAATTTGTTGACACTTGGTTAAGACATAAGCTTATTGATTGTAAGAACAAATCTTACCTTAGCTGTTCACTGACGTGTTTCTATATCGTTGAAATTCCTCAGCTGCTGACTTTGAGTCCGTGTAGGTGGCGACTTCCTATCACGCTTGGCCAGTTTTGTGGTGTCTGTCTGGCTTGGGGAAAAAGGCGCAGTAGAATACTATAGCAGCTATAAAAACGCAGGTCTGTGCAGAGCTGGCTTTGGTTTTCCTGGGCATCCTGTCCTCAATTACAGCTTAAAAGCTTCAGCACAACTCGTAGAATTTGTCTGGATTGACTGAGAGGCGGAGCGTGTGGTCGCAGAGATACTGGAGTTGTTTGTGTCCCTACAATTTATCCAAATAAAATGGCCTGTAAGCGGGACGGTTCATGTCAGTCTGACTGCTAGGTTTTTTTTCTCCTGTTTTGGTACACTCACAGGGCGTTAGATAGGACTTGCACAGTATTAGTATATGTGATATTTCAAGGTTATGTTTCACATGTGGCATCAGGAACCCTATGAATCCCTATATGCACTTCGGGCTGTGGGGCCAGACCAGCCTTGGCGGTCTTAATCCGAGCTCAGGTCTCTCATTCACAGCACATTAGAGTCAGGTTGCAGCCTCTCCAAAACAAGCTCCTCGGTGGCCTCAGAGCAGCGAGCCGGGGAATGTGCACTGGGGCATGTTTACCAAATCAAATAGCAGAAATGCATTTCAAAAAAGTCTCCACATTTGTTATCTTAATTTATTTAAACTTCTAACGGGAGGACATGTTTGCTCCACAAATATCTGCGTTTTCCGTTTTAACAATTTATCGCCTCGAGATGTTTTATTATTCACAATTAGTATTTTAAAATACATTGCAAGAGATACTGTAGCCAAAATATCTCAAGCTGTAAAACTGTAAAATATGCCTGCAAATATTTTTAAAATTCTGTAACACATATTCTTTTTAGAAATGATATTTTCGTCTTTGAGTTTGTGATGTTGATGCGGTTTACGCAAATGTGTATTCGGCATGGGAATAAATATAAAACAATGTGGAGATTAAAATTCATCAAAACAAAAAAGTATCTTACAAATTTCTGGAAGCTGTTTTCTTGCTGAAAAGCGCACATTTGAATAGATATATGCACCTAAATGTTGCTAAATAGCCGTGCGTAAAAGCGAAGCGGAATGAAATGTTTCGCTTTTTGGAGCTCCCAGTGAATTTATAAAATGTTAATTTAAAGCTAAACTTAGCAACGGGACGAGTTTCTTTTAAAAATGCAACAATTTTATTCCATCAGCAACAACTTCATGATTTTTCGGACAATTGAAGCAGACTGTGAAGTGACTCATGGCGACAGAATTTAACCTTCAGTTGTTGCGTACTTTCCTCAACAAGCCTGTGGTCTTTCCTGTGAGGTATGTGTTGGTTTCTTCTGTTATTGTGATTAACAAGAAAATTTTTACAATAGTTTAAATGGCTGTTATTCTCAAGATTACAATTTAGTATGTCCAATTGCGCAAAGTTTTATAGACGCCAAAATTTCATTGTCCGTGTTTGCCTGAAACTTGGAGTCAGTTCACTACATTCTATGAATTTTAAGGTCGTCTCTAGTATTTATTTTCCCCAAATTTCAGTTTAGTCGTAAGCTGATGGTAACGCAAGGCTGTAGCAGTTGAAACATTAGCCGCTACTTTGAACATGACCCTGATAACCAAATGCCCACTGAGCCAAATGCTATGTTGTAAACCCACCAAATGATGATGACTAAGACATTTCTAAAAGCAGCCTTTAGAGATAAGCTCGCTGTCTCCTTCCTCTAATTCAACTCTGTATTATATGGGCATAGTAATGCTCCTTTAGTTAATATTTTTACCATCTAGGGTCACTACAACTTAGTAAGCAGAATCTTTTTGTTTTCCATGCGTTACAGGCTGTGTATATATATTTTCAAAATAGGAACACTTGAAAATATACACAAACATTCATTTTTCCAAGACAGACTGAAAAGAACATGGAAGCGCACAAAGCACTTGGGAAGTTCATGTTAATATTTTGAAAAAAAATCTTCAATTAAAATCCTTCTTTTCTTTTTTAACAGCCATCATCCAAATATAGTTTTCCGTCTCCTGGCTTCGTTGCATGTAAAGGAATTCATTTTTGAACCGACGTGACTATAAACCACCAATGTCAAGCTTTAGGACACACAGCAGTCATGTCTCTTACACTCCTACACACTCTTTCTCTTTTCTACACACCCACACGAGAACACACACACACACACACACACACACACACACACAGCCTGAAAATCTGTCAATTTCTGCCGCGTGGTCACGTGACCTCCTCCTCCGTGGAGTGGATGGAGATGGCTCTCCACGTCAGCTTACGTCTCCAAATTTCTGCTTAGCGAACCTGCTTCAAAGAGGCAAGAGGCACGGCGCTTCAGAGCCATGTTCAGGGCGGTTATAGAGGAATCAAAGCCCAACATAGAGTTATAGAAGAGGGTGAACTACGATGATGGATTTTGACGAAAGGGTCCCCGTCGGATCGAACATGTATTTGCCCAGTTGCACTTATTACGTGTCTGCGGGGGCAGATTTCTCCGGTCTTCCCTCGTTTTTATCCCAGTCCCCGTCCACCCGCCCCATGACATACTCCTATTCCTCTAACCTGCCGCAGGTCCAACCCGTCAGAGAGGTGACGTTCAGGGACTATGCAGCCATTGATGCGTCCGGTAAATGGCCGCACCGGGGGAACTTGCCCCAGTGCTACCCGAGCGCGGAGGACATGGTGCACCGGGACTGTCTGTCGGCGCAAACCGCCGTCGTAGGGGACATGTTTGGTAAAAACAGCCCCGCAGCCGCCGCCGCTGCTTACCACCACCACCACCACCACCACCATACAAGCGCCGGCTCCGCTGCCACAAATTTCTACGGGAACGTGGGCAGAAATGGCGTGCTGCCACAGGCTTTCGACCAGTTTTACGAGACGGCGTACGGGAACGCGTCGGAGAGCTCTTCCGCGAATGGCTACTCAGGGGACAAAACAGCGACCAAGCCGCCTAGCTCTGCGCCGGAGGACGCACCGTCTTGCCGGGACACCGAGGCGAAGGAGCAGCGGGATGAAACAAGCAGCCCAGAGTTATCTTCCGGCAACAATGAGGAGAAATCCAGCAGCAGCAGTACGTATTAAAGTCAGCGCCTTGGTTATGAGAGAAAGTTTGCAATCTTGCGCGCTGCTGTTAAAAATTTTATATGCTGTTTTATAAGCATATAAGGTTTATAGAGGGCCTGTAGACCCCCCCACCCCCCAACAAAACTTTGTTATAAACTGCAGGATCACGTGTTTGGAATTGAAATTGGCCGTGAAAGACATCAGGCCGGTTATTTTTCTCTAACACTCCCTGACGTTTTCCCCCAAAAGCACTGAGATATGAATATGAGTTCCGATAGAGACATGCGTTGATTCCATTTATTATGAACGCGCTTGTTTCACGGTTTCTTAGCATTAAAAGAGCCCTTGCATGTAATGAGGGTGGTGCCTCTGCTTTAAGGTTTAGCACACATGAGCCCTTGTGTTAAAGCTATCATGGAGTTTGTGTTGTAGATTTTCACTTTATGTTTTCTGTAAGTAAAAATAGTTTCATACAAACTGTCTATCCCAGCGCATTCTCGTTTACCTGTAGCTACTAGTTGCTTATATTTTAAAGTGAACTTGTTGTTTTCATTTGCTAGAAAAGGTCAAAGCCCAAGTGTATTGTCTAGCGAGCCAGCAGCGAGTGGTTTGGTAATCTTTCCAGTGTAATATAATATCAGTATATATGACACTTGAAATGTTCAAATGGGAAATATGTTATTAATGCTTTATGTCGAGGAAATCCGCTCATGCGTAATCTGGACACCATTCAAGGCGTGTAAATCTTTTTCTTGAACATAGTCATGGCTAATTTGAAATGTGTATATTTCCAGTGACCGGCTTCTTTCTGTACTCTCCAGGTGGACAGAGGACCCGCAAGAAAAGGTGTCCTTATTCCAAATATCAGATCAGAGAACTTGAACGAGAATTCTTTTTCAGTGTGTACATAAATAAGGAGAAACGGCTGCAACTGTCTCGGATGCTCAACCTCACCGACCGACAAGTAAAGATTTGGTTTCAGAACCGTCGCATGAAGGAGAAGAAACTGAACAGAGACAGATTACAGTATTATACGTCTAATCCTCTGCTTTAGTGGCCACAGCAGCACCGCCACAGCTCCAGCACTGCTCTGCTGTGGGCCTGGCTACGTTTACAGACTGGCTGACTCTCCCCGGCTGTGACTCGCCCAGTGTACATTGTGTACCACAATGGCCGCGACAGATGTAACAACACAGCTCAATGGTTAATTTCAAGTTCGAGGACAACAGTACCCCGTGATCTGAAATACCTGAAGAGCGAGGCATGAATTAAGACAGTCTGTGGACTTTGATTTCGCTCCTCAGACATAGAAACTGATTTTTGTCATTGCCAAGACTGTGCTTGCGAAGGCCCATGTTAATATTGTGATTCACAGACGCCTTGTTTATTTTTCTTTCACGCGGGCAACACAAAACTTTGCCACTAATTAGTCACTAATTGACTGGTCTAGTGTATTTTGTAATCAAAAGATTTATTTGACTTTTTTTTTTTTCTTTTTTCTGTTTTTAAAATCAGAAAAAAATGGTGGTTTTTAGGCTGATGGCGAATATGTGACTTTAATAGACTCGCCGAATCTATTGTATATTGGTGTGACCAAATGAGTCCGAACGGATGAGAATCATGTGTTTCTGTTTTGTGTGCTTATTTATTTTGTAGCCCACTCGATTACTATCCCCTTTTAATGTCACGGCTATCCAAGTCAAAGTCCATTATTAGCCCAGAGGCAGGCGATTGGGATTCTAATGCTGAGTGTGAGCTGACCTCAAAACGAGCTTTTGTCGTTTTTCCAGTAGCCTGCAGAATAAGGGCGGAGTATTATTTATGTTTTTGCGTACCTGTCAACAGCCAAATCCAGTTTGTCCTTTTTTTTTTTTCCTTTTTTTTTGATTTTCGGAGACTATCAGTTGAGCATAAACAATGCAGGCCAAACCAGAGAGATAAGCTTGTCCAGTGGATCCGTGTGGAGTTGCACTGAGGTACACGCCCAACGTATATTCACACAGGTAACCTACACATGCAGCGGACCTCTTTGGTCGGACATTGGATTACATTTTTTTTCTTCTCATGAACCGTGAACCTTGGGTACTTTCAGTATAAAAAAGATAAACACAAAATGCTGCATTTTCAAGTGTGCTGTCAGGGCACGGCTGGTCAGGGCCATCGCATTGAATCAATTGCTTGGTTATGCCCAAACTATTGTGTATTATACTATATTTCCAAATAAAAAAACTAATGAAAAGATTACTGAAAAACAGCTTCTGCGTTGTCATTGTTTTGTTTGCGCTTTTCCTTTTTTAAAAAACAATACGCGGTACCACATATTGCCGTTCTAAAAATACCCGCATGTGGAACATTTTACGCACGGAAGATCAAAACATTAAACTCACGCTTACAACAGAATTGTCACAATTAGATGCCTGGGTCTGTGGCAAACAATTAAAAGCACCGAAGTGCAGTAAATTTGAAGACTCATTATGAAGCCACCAAACTAATAGACACACGCACATACACAATCTCACCACTGCAAATTAAACATTTTTTTTAATGTCTGCTTTTATTTCTCCAAATAGAGTTAATAAAGTCACACTTTTAATTAAAATGTGCCATTACTTGTGCAGTAATATCGTCAAATGGAGTTAAATGTTTGATTATAGGGCAGAGATATATCATATATAAATAGACAAACTAAAAAAAAAAAAAGGTTTCGGTCTTGTGCTCTCAAATTATGTTTGCACTGTTGTGTTCAATTATTTTGAACCACGTCTTATAGTACTTCAGCTTAGAAATTTTCCAACTCTTGCATTCTGTCTTCAGGAAATCTTTGCTATAGGTTCACTGTCGATAATTCCACCTTTATCTATCTCTGTAACATTTATTGTTGCCAAACATTCAGCATTGCGCCATGTACACTTTGGTTTCTCTCTGAGTGTTTCTCTGTCTGTGTGCGAACTGTCATTTTGCTGATTGGCTTTGGAAACACTCCTCCAGCAGCAGTCTCCTTTGGCGAGGGTCGCCATATTTGCTGTTGTTATCACTGTGTTTATGAGAGCTAGCCGCAGCGCATTGGCGTTCATATATGACAGTCAAAAGGGCCATAAACGCGGGGAGAGAGGCTGAAGTTTATGGTTGCCTCTCTCTGCCATAGTCGGGCCTTGCCTTGCGCATCCTTTACTGCGCGCTGGAATTCCGTCCCTAATTACGGGACATCCTCCCCGTTGCCGCAGCAACGCGGCCATAAAAGCTGTCTGAGAGTCTGGAGCATTTGTACAATTGGAGTGCAGTGCAATAAACCGTCTGAGACCCAAGGTTATTAACTGTGTTACCAAGGAGGCGACAGCAACGACAGGGAGCGGACGGATAGGAAAAGCCTCTGCTCGCTAGCTGCATCGACTACATTTCAGAAGCTTTTCCCCCTCGTGTGGTTTATCCACCTCGAATCAGTTTAGTGGAAACGGCTGCACACTGGATTCGAGCCTCTTACCACCGGGCGGCGCTATTGGGACCAATGTCATGGCCTTGGATCTTTTGGTCTCTCAAGCTCACTTCAAATGCACGCAGGTAAAAGTTGTCAACAAAGCCTGGAGCTTGAATAGTTTGCTCAGTGGAGAGAAAAAAACAAGCTTTTGTAGCTCGCATTCAGCTGTTTGTCTCGTCGTCTTGCATGCAAAGCTGGCTAGATTGTGATGGGAGTCGTTTTGTGTTTAGTTTCAACATTTCTCTGTGGTGCCCCGGGCCGTGCGGTACTGAAAGTCTTCCTGGGGGCCCTAATAAGGCAACACATCTGTGCCAAGACTTCATGCTGCATGTGCTATTCATTTTGCTGAGCTAGAGCTTTTTAATGGTTCAAGTATAGCATAGCCGACTTGTACCTGGAGAGATCTGCAGCCCCTTTCAGTCTAACCACAAGTGTTTTGTGTTTGGAAAAGCCTCCCTTAATTATTCAGAATGGACAGAGTGAGTGTCTGAACGATACATCAGTAAGCAGTGGGTGCTGCTTGGCAAACAAATGATTTCATTTTTCAAACAGTTTCTCATCCCAATGCAGCTAATCCTAAAGCAGCTGGCTTCACTGCTCATTCTTCTTCCTCTTCAAAGAATCTGCAGAAAACATTTGACGTCCTTCCAAAAGGCATTATTGTCCGTGCGTGCCAAAGCAGTTATTAGAAAAGTCGATTTGATTGTGATAGAGCATGAGCAGCAATCGCGTCCCCCTCTTTTTTTTTCTCTTCCTGTCACACAGAGCTGCACCAGGAGGCTATTCGGTGTCAGTCCAAGTGGCGAGTGGCTATTCTGGACCCTAATGCGTGTGGACCGAGTCTTGTTCTCCTTTGTCTCTCGTGAAAAATAAATGCTTCCGCTGGATGTAATAAAACGCCGCATTATTGTTCATAACTGCACTCGGGACGAACATGATACGACTCAAACGGCCTCTTCGGCCACGATTATATGGGCCTGATCAAAGCCAGTGGTCAGAGTAAACTGTTTTCAGGATATAATAGCCGGGCAGCTGTGAAAATGAAGATTTAATAGCTACAATTAATAACTGTAACACAAAGATATCGATAGGCCCCCGTGCCAGTACAACATCATGAAGTGTGCGGGCCAAAACAATTTAATACGGGGTGCACATAATTAATTGATGTATTTAGTTTCCTTACTGGCTCATATGTCCCATAAGGAACAGGCCACTGTGGGGAAAAGTACAAAGGTTTTGGAAGTATTGCTGCTAGTTTGTCTGTCTTTAATAGAATACATTTTTTTGTGGATCTTTTTATGTTTTGGAGGAAGTTACCAAACGCGCACCAACGCTCGGCGCACGGCCTTTATCTTGAAATATCTAGTTCCGCAGAAAAATACTCTTTAAAAAATAAATATCTACAATATATCTTTTGAATTTCGGAACAGGTTATTTTATTATATTCATATACGCATAAATAACCTTACAACCAACTTCAGTCATTTAAGTCATTTGAAATATGCGCGTCCTGAGCAGCTGCGATTGACAAATGTCCACCGTCGGCGCGGTAAAAGTGTAAGCCAGTGTGCATAAATGAGCTGTCAATGAGAGAGTTTGAGAACCTAAATGGGCTCAATTTATGAATTTCTCCCAAATTTCCCCATTTCAGTACAACAGGCTGCAAACAAACCCGGGGGGCGAGCGGCCACCTGGGCCTGGTAATGGCAAAGCTGGCCAAGATTAACTTCAACCTGGAGAGAGCAATAGAGTGCACATGGCCAAGGACACGACGAGATGGAAGGAGAGTTTTATTGTGGCCCTTATTGCCCCAAATTGGACCGACAGGATGGCTTGTATGTGGAAGCTTTATGTCTGCGTTACTGTGACACACTGGGACAATTCCCTTACTGCACCGTGATCAGTGTTTTGGCGGATTAGCCAAAATTAAGTTTGTATGCTGAGCTCAATTTGGAATTTTTGCAGTCTATAAGACAGACAGATAATTATTGCGGTTCAGCAGAATTACATGGAATACTTGTAATGTTTAAACGAAGGCGCATCATGGCTTTTAACCTGTTTGTGTTGTGCGTAATGACTATTCGAATAGAGATGAACTCCTCTCCATGTCCCAAATGAGTAGAAAAAAATACACAGAAATGCAAACGCTACTAACACACTCTCTAATTTTAAATAGATAAAGGGGGAAAAAAAGTGTTCTTGGTTAAATGTGAAATATACAATTATGTGCACATAACTTTTATCTTCAGCTAAGAAAGAAGCTACATAAAGACGCTCTAAGTCTTTGTTTTTCCTCGGGGGGTAACTGCATGTCCTATTAGACGGAGTATTTCAAGAATTTCGCCTTTAAATGCTTAAATGATTCTTCAAATAATGGATGAATTATTTTGCACATCAGTTTGGTTTTCGTTACTGTCTTTAACTGCTTTTACTTGTGACAGGGGATTTCTCTGCCGCTGTTTACGCGCAGGCATAGCTTTCCTAATCCGAGTAAATTGCGTAATTTATCACCAGTACAAACCCTACGATTAAAAATACTTACTGTATGTTTGATTTAATACAGTCATTTAGAACAAGACAACCAAACGACGCAGCCTTAGATTGACATTAACTGCTTTAACTTGCGTAAAAATACTTAAACAAAAAAAAAAAACAAAAAAAGGGAAAAAAAATCCTTTGATATCACTCCATCTGTAGGCAACAGTATTCTTAACACATTTGCTTTTAGTGCTGAATAGCTCTGACTGTCTTCAAGCAAAAGGATGCACTTTATAAAACGGCTTTTTGCCAAGTCATTTTGCCAAAGGCGAATTCTCCCTACAGTTAAAAAGACTTTATTACCACTAACTGCATTGCTTTGTTATTTTATGTCTTTGTTGGTGGGTTTCAGCAGCCCTATACTTTTAAACTTGATTTGCCACCTTGAGGCCAAATCCTAATGTAAAGGAGCGTTTTAGTGTTTGAAGCGAAGAGGAGTTTGATCATTTCTGGTTTTATTTTTTTGCACTTACGCCACTATGACTTGACTGCTTTTATTTTCGAGGCTTGGGGTTTTCTAAATCTGATGCTTCTGACTGTGTTGCACCTATTGTTGAGCTTTGTGGTGACACTTTATTTGCATGGTGCTTCAGACATCATTTGGTTATTTATAGCGCTGAAAAAATACTTCCGACTCTCGTTTCAATAATGCATTCATGAATGGCATCCTTTGAAAAAAACAAATATGTATTTAAAAACTTTGAATCGTGTCGGACCTCGCCCCTGCTGTACAGGGTGGTGCATTAAGGCGAGGTGAGGGAACACACTGATTGCTGTGCTGTCTTCTTTCTCTGCCTCAGCTCCATGATGGATATCGTTCCGACTGCTACGTAGCCACAGAGTGGGAGGGACTGCCCATCTTCCAGCATTTCCATTGGTTTTACAGTCCGCTCGGCGGAGAGGGGGGGTGCCTCTAATCATATCCAGCATGTTTTGCACAAGAAATGTCAGCCAGAAAGGGCTATCTTCTCCCTTCGCCAAAATACACCACAATAATGTCATGTTCGGACAGCCCGTCAGGAAATGCGTTTTTAGTGGATTCTCTGATCAGTGGCCGCACCGAGAGCAGCGGAGGTCACTACACTGGGAGCGCGGTGTGCGTGCCTCATAGCACTGCTACAGAAGTGCCTTACGGACTACACAACTATGGATACTTCCCAGGTATGGGTAAGAGGAGCGAGGTGGGTCCCCAAAACATGGTTTCCGCCTCAGGTGCGTACATGTCCAGCATGGAAATGTGG